AGGCCTACTTCCTTTATTCCTAATAGATAACTAGGTCTAGGATTCCTAATTAGGATCTGAATAGTAAAAGGTTTACTATCTTTATTCCTAATAGGCTTAAGCCTCTAATTTAGGCAAGGGTCCACGGTTCACGGTGGATCCTATTAATTAATTAAAGGGGAACTTAACATAATTAATCATATTTAATTATTATTAGCGGGATTAATTAAATAATTAATCCAGGATTAAAGGCCGTAACACGGGGTGTTACAGCTGCCCCTTGTTTCAGATGGAGAAACTCCTCGTACATGGATGCCCTCACGTGCGTTGGATAGAATCGCTCTCGTAGTCGCGTTTTGAGCTGCTCCCAGTTGAACCCCGGTTCTTGTTGGTAAGTGGGACCCTCGTGGATCCACCAGAGATCGGCCTCGTGTCCGAAGTAGAACGAGGCTATCTCCACGCGGCGTTCTTCTGGGCATTCCACTAACCTGAGAATTTTGTCAAGGGTTCGGATCCATTCCTCCAGGATCACCGGATCCTCTTCTCCTGAGAACGTGGGTGGTCGCTGGTTAGAGACTTGTCGGGCGAAGTCTGCGTTTGCGCTTGACGGAGGTGGTGGGGGCCTGTCGTTGCGGAGAGCCACGTCGCTCAGTGCCTGGGCGACTTGCGTTAGTTGTTGTAGTGTTTGGGTCAGGGGGTCGTGTGTGGTGGGTTCTGGAGTCCTTGATTGTCTTCTGTTGGGTGCCATGCTGTCGTCTTTCTAAGTCAATGTTTATAAGAACATCAAATTAGAGCTTGGTGTCCTTCCTTGACGTGATAAGCGGAGGAAGGTTTTCTTTAGACAAGGAAGGAATGAAGTGAGGGGGTTTATGTGTAGGTTTCACAATCTCGCCGCGCGTCCTAAAATTCCCGAGTCCTATGATCCTAAATACCTAGAGTTCAAGCCTAATGTCCTAAAGTTTGGTCTTAAGAGTCTTATCCTAGGGTCAAACTTAGGCTCTGATACCAACTGTAACACCCCAGATTTTCAGGATATTTAAAACTTATAAAATAAAGGTGAAATCTCATTAAATCCCAAAACATAATACAAGAGTATGGGGTGCTATGCCACACCTGAGCTAGAGAACTCAGGTGCACAGGCTAACTAACTAATATCCTCAAATAGTAGCAATACTAAATCATGGCACGCAGGCCGGAAGGGAAAAACTATCTAAGCTACGTCCAAGCCTCTAGCGCGCTCCAGTGATCTACTCGTCTGTGCCTGAAAGCCAAATATATCTGTTCAGCGAGAGATGCTGGTAACCCACTCCAACGCGTTGAAATACAGTACATATAGATATATATATATATATATATATATATATATATATATATATATATATATATATATATATATATATATATATATATATATATATATATATATATATATATATATATATATATATATATATATATATATGAAAAGTCATTTTGAACATGAGGATATCTCCTACGAACTCTAGGTTTTAAAACAGGGATAGACTCAACAGATAGGGCTAAGCACAGACAGCAGTTATACCACGCATATACAGTTTACAACAGGCAAGACAGATAAGATAAGCACAATTAATAATCATAACCCAACATATACAATCCCCGGTATAAATCTCATAGTCTCATCCCCAAGATACTCATAACAACAACTCATCCATACTTCATCACATAGCACACTTTGTTGGCGCCACAAGACCAATCGCATGCCCATACATGAGGGTCAGCGCATATAGCTTTGACACGGCCCCGCAGCACCCTACCCCGTCTCAAAGCACGGAGGGGTCGATCGCAACCGACCGATGAGCCGCAGCTCTATATAATATTTATATACCTGACTGGTCTCTACCAGCCTGGTTAACAGTTGGGATGGTTCTCAACCCATTCAACTGCCCGTATAGTGGATCTTAGTCCTATATAATATTTATATACCTGACCGGTCTCTACCAGCCTGGTTAACAGCCGGTATGGTTCTCAGCCCACCCGACTGCCCGTATAGCCCGATTGATCTCAACCAAGTCGGGGTAACATGCACACATAACACATAGCAAGCACATGCAACCCACATTAACACATTGGGAAGGGGGACAAAACGTATAACAAAACCTATGCGTGATCCTTCACATACTAAGAATAGTCCTAAGGGATTCATACTTCTTTCACCTAAGTCAACGGGATACCAATTCAACTAGCATGCAATATATAAGACCCATACGACCTACGAACGGTACCCGAAAATCAAACTTGACATAGGCACGATAGACGGAGTTCGTTGGAACACCACGGGGGTCGGGGGAACATCAAACGGGGAAGCCAAAATCCCCAATTGGGGTGCAAACCAGTGGGTAGCCGGTGGGTGAGGGTTGAGAGTCGAGTGGGTAGCTGCCCGCCCGCCGGCTGCCCGCTGCCGGCGTTGCTCAAGAAGGCCACGGGTAGGTGGCGGGTCCCCTACCCCCACCTACCCTTCACTGACTCTTTTCATCAAAAGCGCCCCGGGAACCTTTGTGGAACCCGAAACCATGCTTAGACACTTTCAAACGCAATTGATAACACACGTAGACAATTAACGGATCAAAATCAGGAAACAAACGACACGTAACCTATCATGCTTTTCTAAACGTAATAAACACCCAATCATGCGAATTCCCACCCAATATACCAAGAATAATTCCATACGATACAACCTAGGGTTCTAATCAATTTTAAATCAACAAGGTCACGATTCATCTTCTAATATCAAGATTCGGTAAGAATATTATATAAACATCAGGGACATCCTACCCTCATCAAGAACATCATATAATCATCAAGAACGTCATATAATCATCAAGAACACCATAATTATCAGGAACCTTTCATCATCAAGATCACCCATGGAATTATCCCATCAATCATCAATAATAACACAAATCAGCAATACACAATAATATGGGGAAATCCTAAGAGGGGAATCATAGCTATGAAAATAGGTTTTGTTGAGACATGGGTTACCTCTTAGCCTTAATTAATTCCTTGGCTATGAAGGGTCTTTCTTTAAGATTTCTTGCTTTCTTGATTTCTTCTAAGGGGATTCTTGGAGCTCTTTGGGGTGGTGGAACGTTTATTGTGGTGGGGGGGGGGGGGGGTTCTAGGTGCCTCTTAAGCCCCCTATTTATATATTTAGGAGTCCTAGTTAGGAATTAATATTATAGGCTTGCTAATTCTATTTCTTTTGGAACTAAGGATTGGGTTTAGGGATAAGGGCCCACGGACTATGGTGGGCCTTTCCTAATTAATTATTGTGATTTAATTCTTTCTTTTGGGTAATTTGTTAAATGATTAATTGGTTTTAGGGATCGTAACACGGGGTGTTACACTTGTGGTACTGAATATCTAGGTCATAATCTTTTATAAGTTCCAACCATCTTCGTTGTCGCATGTTTAGGTCCTTCTGGGTGAAGATGTACTTCAGGCTTTTATGATCTGTATAAATCTTGCATTGCACTCCGTATAGGTAATGCCTCCAAATTTTCAGGGCGAACTCGATGGCAGCTAGCTCGAGGTCGTGTGTGGGGTAGTTTTCTTCGTGGGTTTTGAGTTGTCGGGATGCGTATGCTATTACCTTGCCCCTTTGCATTAGTATGCATCCCAGTCCCTTTTTGGAGGCGTCGCTGAAAACTTCGAATCCTTCCACTCCAGAGGGAAGGGCTAGGACGGGTGCTGTGGTCAGCTTTTCTTTCAATTCTTGAAAGGCTGAGGTGCAGTTGTTGTCCCATCGAAAGGGGGTTTCCTTTTTCATGAGCTTAGTGAGGGGTTGGGCTATCTTGATAAAATCGGGTACGAACTTCCTATAATAGCCTGCGAATGCTAGGAAGCTTCTGACCTCCGAAAGTGATTTCGGTATGGGCCATTTTTTACAGCGTGGATTTTGGTTGGGTCCACCCTGATCCCCTCTTTGGTTATCACGTGACCCATGAAGGCCACGTTGTCCTTCCAAAATTCGCATTTGGAGAATTTGGCGTATAGCTGGTGTTCCCTCAGGGTTTGCAAGGTTGTGCGGAAGTGCTTTTCATGTTCCTCCTTGTTTCGGTAGTAGACCAGGATGTCGTCGATTAACACGATGACGAAGTCATCTAGGTGGGGTCGGAATACTCGGTTCATGAGGTCCATGAATATAGCGGGCGCATTGGTGAGTCTGAAGGGCATTACCGTGAATTCGTAGTGGCCGTAACGGGTTCGAAAGGCCATTTTTCTAAATATCTGGGTCGGCCACTTTTATCTGATGGTACCCGGATCTTAAATCAATTTTCGAGAACACCCCTGCTCTTTTAAGTTGGTCGAACAAGTCATCAATTTGGGGAAGAGGATACTTAATCTTTATTGTGACTTGATTTAGTTCCCTGTAGTCGATGCATAGACGCATGCTTCCATCCTACTTCTTGGCGAATAGCACTGGTGCTCCCCATGGTGAGATGCTGGGGCGTATGTATCCTTTATCTAGTAACTCCTGAAGTTGTGCTTTCAATTCCTTCATCTCTTTTGGCGCCAGTCTGTAGGGTGGTTTCGAGATTGGGGCAGCGCCAGACATCAAATCTATGGTGAATTCAACTTCTCTGGTCGGGGGTTTACGTGGTTTCCTTCGATTTTTCTTTTGTGTCCCAGGTGTGTTTCCTATGGCTTGCTTGGTATTTGTTGTAGTTGGAATGCCTTGGCATAGGCTTCTTCGAGAGTTCTTGGTTTTCGTATGTTAGGGCCTTCTAGTTTTCGAGGTTGAGGCCCGTTATAAATTTCTCGATTTTGATTGACTCTGTAGGTACCAGTTCGGGTGTGAGGCGAGCTAGGTTGAGGAACTGCCGGTAGTATTCTACGATTGGGGTTGCTCCTTGTTTTAGATGGAGGAATTCTTCGTATATGGTTGTTTTCATGTGACTGGGGTAGAATCGTTCCCGTAATCGTGTTTTTAGGGTCTCCCAGTTGAATTCCGGGCTTCGTTCGCAACTAGGTTTCTCATGGACCCACTAGATGTCGGCTTCATGCCTGAAGTAGAAGGAGGCTGTTTCTACTTGGTGATTTTTCGGGCATCCTGTTGCTCTGAATATTTTGTCAAAGGTTCCGATCCATTCTTCGAGAATTGTGGGGTTTTCATCCCCCGAGAAGGTAGGCGGTCGGTGTTCCGAGATTTGGCGGTGGGTTTCCAAGTTTCTGTTTGGTGGTGACGGTTGAAGGACCGTGTTGCTTAGTGTCTGGGCAACTTGGGCCAGACGTTGCAGATTCTGAATCAAGGATTCTTGTGTGGGGAGTTCCGGTGCTTTTGTCTATTTCCTTTTCGGTGTCATCCTGGGGGTTCATAGGCCGATATTATTTTGCATCCTTACCTTGATGCTATGAGTGTATGGGAAGTTCTTTTTAAATTAAGTGCGAAATAGGGTGAGGGAACGTTTTAAGGTTTCACAATCTCACCGCACGTCCTATGATCCCTAAATCCTACCTTACTAAACTCCTAGAGTTTAAGCCTAATGTCCTAAAATCTGGTCTTAAGAGTCTTATCCTAGGTTCAAACTTGGGCTCTGATACCAACTGTAACACCCCGAAATTTTGATACTTTTAAAGCTTATATAATAAAGGTGAATTCTCATTAAATCCCAAAATCAACATAAGAGTGCGGGGTGTTATACCACATCTGAGCTGGAAAACTCAGATGCACAGGCTAAACTAACTAAACAACCTCAAAGCAATGTCAATACATAATCATGGCACGCCCGCAGGCCGAAACGGAAACTAACTAATCTTCGCTCCGGATCTCTAGCGCGCTCCGGTGTCTACTCATCTGTGCCTGAAAGCCAAATATATCTGTTCAGCGAATGATGCTGGTAACCCACTCCAACGCGTTGAAATACAGTATAGGTAGATATATATATATAGATGTACGAAAACCATTTCGAAGCAGGAAGATATATACTTAGGGGATTCTAGCTTTAAAATCAGGGATAGACTCAACAGATAGGGTTAAGCACATTAAACAAGGATAATCAGTTATATCGAGACAGTATCCTAAAGAGCATATATTGAGTTAATACCCAAAATCGTCTTCGACTATAGTGGTTTTTCTCAATTTTGTCCTAAACGACTTTGGTGACTTAATGCCTAGAGTTTTGTGTTTTTACTCAATTTCGTCCCAGACTTTTGTGTTTTTGCTCAATTTAGTCCCCCATTTGTTATTCCGTCCATTTGTTGTTAAATAAATAGATAATTCAGTAATTTTAATATTGGCATCTCTTTATTCATAGACATGTGAAGTGCGAAATCCCTCTTTTTTTACGAATTACTCCCAGAATCACTTCTAAAGCTGCGAATATAAAATTTGATTCGTAGGTCTGAGAGTAACTCTGGGTGTAATTCGTGCCAGAAAGAGAGATTTCTCACTTCGCAGGTTGAAAGTAAATGGAGGTCAATATTGATATTATTGAATTGTCCCTTTATTTAACACCAATTTGATGGAATAACAAACGGAGGACTAAATTGAGCGAAACACAAAAGTCTGGGACTATATTAGGTCACCAAAGTCGTTTAGGACGAAATTAAAAAAAAAACCACTATAGTCAAGGATAATTTTGAGTATTAACTCAGCATATATTTAAGATCGCAGTTCCCTTTCAATTCATTCACATCATCATTCAATCATCATTCAAGTCACTAGGCCTGTGCACAACCCGACCCACCCTAGCAAACCGACCAACCCGACGACCGAGAGAGACCAAACCGGCACTACCCGAACCCGATTCTCCATACCCGATCCGCTATTCAAAACGTCTTCGGTTAAGAGGGTTCGGGTGGGGTATGATATTTTTCCAACCGACCCGTCCGAATATCCGAACTATCCTAGGGTTCACTAAGGCTATGTACTAAACGGCGTCGTTCCTTCAAGGTATATATACATGCCTTCCACCAACATGGTCTTCATTCTCCCATCAGCGCAGCTGACCTAGGGTTTGAGATCTCATCTCTCGAGTCTCGACTCTCAACTCTCACTCTCAACTCTCTCAGACTCTCACTCTCTCAGAGTCTCAGTTCTCTCAAGAATCATCTCCGATTCTGTAAATCTGTAAGCTACTAAGCTCTAATATCTTACTCTCTATTTCTCTAATATCTAATCTCTTACTCTCTAATCTGTAATCTCTAATCACTTAATCTCTATTGTCTAATCTCAGGCTTCTCAGAATCGAAGCGTTGCAATCTCTAATCTCTAATCTCTTACTCTCTGTCTCTGAGAGTCTAAGTGGTGGAAGCCGTGGTGAACTGGTGATTAGAAGCCCTTGTTCTCCGGGGATTATTTGGGAGAAATCAAGTAAATTTTAAACCCTAGTTTATATTAAGAAAATGTTTGTGACTTTGTGTTATATTATATTATTATGATGATATGTGGTGAATATTTTGATAAAGCATTGTGAAATTGAAAATTCTAGTTTTATATATCTTGATTTATGTGAGATACTTAGATAGTGAGATGTATTGTGTTCTGTCTCTTCTACTGTGATGAATATTTGGTGATATATTCATATATTATGCCATTATTTCATTTATTGGTGGAAGCCTTTTAGAAATTGATTTTTAAGTGTTGATTTTGTGAAATCTGGATTTTCTGCCTTGTAAATTTGTAATCTACCAATCCGAGTTAAAGGCTTAAATGTGAAATCTCCAGTGTGGGAATTTCCATTTAGTGGTGGAAGCCCTTAACAATTAACTCAAATCCAGATAATGATGATCTGTAGTGAATTCCTGAATCTGGATTTGTTTGTATAATTGTATATGTTATTATGTTTATCAGTTTATGGATGTATGACCCTTAATTGCTAATTGTTAAATCTGGAAAAATGATGACACAAACTAGTAACTACTGTGTCTGATTCTGGATATCTTTGTATGTTTAATTGTTTATTACTAATTATTCTAGTGTTATGTCACACTCACACAAACTGAAAAGTGAAAACTGGTACCCATCTTTGTAGATGAAAAGTGCCACTCAAATGACTCAATCTGGACTTCCACCCTCAACTGAGGAGGGGCCTGGAGGAGTAACCCAAGGCACTGAGACAAATGCTCATCAGCAGCCTGAGGTTAATCCTGCTGTTCCTGCAAAGAAGAGGAATAATGTGGAGTCTAGATCTAAGGTCTGGGAACATTTTGAAAAGATCTGTGATTCTGAAAACAAAGTAATAAAGGGGAAATGTATATACTGTGCTAAAGTCTATCAATCTGAGAGTAAACAGCATGGCACTACCTCTTTAAGAAATCATATGTATGCCTGTCTAAAAAATCCACACTCTAAGGAGACTAGGCACACACTGCTTACTTTCACTGCTGTGACAACATTTGATACTCAAGGGGGTTCTGAAGGGGTTGTTGGGGAGTTAGGGACTTGGGTTTTCAATCAGGAAGCCATTAGGAGGGCATTATGTGAGATGATAATTATTGATGAGCTTCCATTTAGGTTTGTGGAGGGGCAAGGGTTTAAAAGGTTTATTTTGGTTGCTTGCCCTAGATTTTGTATACCTTCTAGGTGGACAATTTCAAGGGACATTTACCAAATTTACCTTGATGAAAGATTAAACCTTAAGAAGCTGTTTAGACTTAACACTCAAAGGGTCAGTTTGACTACTGATACCTGGACCTCTGTGCAGAGGATCAATTATATGTGCATTACAGCCCATTTCATAGATGATCAGTGGAAGCTGAATAAGAAAATCATATCCTTTGTCCCTATTTCTTCTCACAAGGGTGAGCATATAGCTAAGGCATTAGAGAGTTGTTTGATTGACTGGGGGATTAGGGATGTTTTTTTAAGTCCAAATTGTTGTCATGGGGTGCAACCACTGTTAGGAGTAAGTACATTCACATGAGGTGCATAGCCCACATTTTAAACTTGGTGGTCCAGGATGGGTTAAGGTTTGCAGATAGTTCTGTTAAGAAGGTGAGGGATTCTGTTAGATGGATGACAAGACTAAAAAAATTCAGAGATCTTGCAGAACTGTTTGGGGTGGAAGCCAAAAGTTCTTTACAACAAGATGTTCTAACAAGATGGAACAGCACCTACATGATGCTTAGCACTACCATACAATACAAGGCTGTGTTTGATGCATATTCATTGAATGAGCCCTCATTTGCTGCTGATATGGGTGATTCTGTCCCTTCTTTTCTTGACTGGACATCTGTTGAATGTTTGGTAGTTCTGTTGAAAGGGTTTTACGAGATGACAATTAGAATCTTTGGTTCTCTATATGTCACCTCTAACAGTTTCTTCAGTGAGATATCTGATTTGAGTTGCATGTTGAGTAGCATGATTGTTGTTGGTAGTGCTACAGAGGTAATGATTTTATCATTTTCAGTGGTTAATCTGATTATTTATGAATTTGTGTTTAGCTATTTGTATTTAATTCATTGTTTTCTTAGGTTATGGGATCCCAAATGAAAACTAAATTTGAAAATTATTGGGGAGATCCTGAAAAAATGAATTCATTGATCTTCTTTGCCAATATCTTGGACCCAAGAGATAAGTTGGAATATATGCCATACCAGTTTGAGGAACTGTATGGTAAAGATAATGGGAAGAAGTGTTTAGAGAATGTCCAAGCTGCCATGGTAGAATTGTTTGGTGACTATGCAGCAACCTACTCTGTCAATGTGCAACAATCATCTTCTGATTCATCTTTTGGTAGCCAACCAGATGTGCCTCCTGTCCAGTCTCATACCATAATTGGTAGACCTCAAAATATGTTAAAGAACAAATTAAAAAGGCAAAAAATGGAGGCTAGTGGAAGCTATAGAGAAACAAAACTTCAAGTCTATTTAAGTGAAAAAATTGTGGAGGACACTCCTGACTTTGATATCCTTAGGTGGTGGAAGCTAAATAGTGTGAGGTTTCCTACTCTCTCCAAAATGGCAAGGGATATCCTAGCAGTTCCTATTTCCACCGTTGCCTCAGAAAGTACATTTAGTACTAGTGGGAGGGTATTAGATGCATTTAGGAGTTCTTTAACTCCTAAAATTGTGGAGGCCTTAGTATGTGCACAAGACTGGATGAAGTTACCAAATCAACCAGTTAAGGTTGAGGAAAATATTGATGATGTTGAAAAGCTTGAACAAGGTAATTTATTTAAATTTGCCATTCTGTTTTTACATTTTTTAACTTTGCATTCAAATTCTAATTTATTTGTTTCTAACTTTCTATTTGCACTTTGCACTTTGCAGACTTGGCTACTGGAGTAAGTCGATTTGGAACCACAGGATCTGGTGCTGCTGGTTTTCCCCTTCCTACCATTCCTATAATGTTTTATTTACACTTAATTCTGATTTTATTTTCAATTGTTGGATTTGTTGCTGCCTGTGGATTAATGGCTTGGTAACTAACAATTCAATTGCTGGATTTGTTACTGCCTATGATAAGTATGACCCATTGACCCCAGCAGTATCAGCCTACTGCCTATATGAATGTCATCTCATCTGGTAATAACAGTCACTCTACCTTAGTCCCTTATTCTCAAGTGCTCACTGCTCAGTATGTTATTTCTCTTTAGTCTTTACTCTTTACTGATTTGGCTATGATGATGCTTCCACCATTGTCTGAAATGGTTTTGGGTTGGTATGTTGCTCATTAGTTTTGGTTTGCATAATTGCATTCCAATACTAAAAGTAGCAATTTGCCCCCAATCTTACTTTGACATGAAAACATAGCAATCTGAGCCTTCCATAGTTAAATTTTGGGCAGCCCCAATCCCGAAAGTATTTAATTGGTTATATTTAACTTGTGTTTTGTCTTTACACACACTTGTACAGGAAGATCATGAAAGCTGAACTGCTGAAGGCTGAATAGACATTATGATTATGGTATTTTTGTTCACAGGAAGATGTTGATTGGTATTTTGCTGAATGTTGAATTGCTGATATTTGAATTTTTTGTATGAGTATGAATGTCACTATGTCAGAATGTTCAATGTAGGATTCAATGACTTTGACACTTTGTAAAGCATTTTGCATTTTTTGTCATTTGTAAGTAATTGTAACTAAGTACTTTGACCATAAATGGTATGGAATTTTAGTTAGTTTTTTTAAAAAAAAATTGTTGAATATGAAATCCGAAGTTACCCGAACTATAATCCGAAACGTCCGAATTGAAATCCGAATAAAAAAACCCGAATGGATTATAGTATAAAAAATGTCGGATAGGACTTTGATTTAGAAAACCGAAATCTGATCGGGTGGACTAGTCCGGAAACCGAACCGTGCACAGGCCTACAAGTTACACAAGCACACTTTGGTGGCGCCACGGGACCAATCGCATGCCCCGAACATGAGGGTTAGTGCATATAGAACTAACACGGTACCGCAACACACTACCTCATACCGTAGTATGAAGGGGTTGATCGCAACCAACCGTATAGATCGCCGATAGTACGACGGCGGATCACAGCCCTACACACCGCTGACGTGCTCAGTCGGTGGACTGGGATCCTCTTTTAGGGACTATTACCCTACACACCGTTGACGAGCACAGTCGGTGGATCGTAGCGAATCAAGCCCTACACACCGCTGAGGGACTCAGTCGGTGGGCGAAGATCCTCGGAGACTACGACCCTACACACCGCTGGCCATTCACTCTGTGGATCGTAGCCGACCATAGCCCTACACACCGCCTGATCACTCATTTGGTGGGCTATGGCCTACCTCAGGCTAGTGGCCCTACACACCGCTGGCGCGTCCAGTCGGTGGACCACCCGCACACGAGGCCCGTGGGCTGTAGCCCAAGAAGTGAATCACTGACCGCAGCCAGGAAAATGAACCGCAACTCATAAGTAACCAATTTGACCGCAGCCAACTTCTGAACCGCGGCTCAGGAACACCCAATTTGATCGCAACCAAATAGGGGAATCATACATCACATAACACATAATAGCACATTGGGAAGGGGGGACGTATAAATAAACTTACGTGTGATCATTCACATACAAAGAGTAGTCCTAAGGGGTTCATGCATTCTTTTCTTAGGCCAACGGGTTACCGATTCACTAGCATGCAATTCCTAAGACGCTTTTATCCTACGAATGGCACCCGAAACATCAAACAACACTCAAGCACGACAAACGGGGTCCGTTGGGACACCACGGTGAATGGAGAACATCAAACGGGGAAGCCAAGGACCCGGGGTGGGTAGCAGACCAGCGGGTGGCCGGTGGGTGGAGGGCCACCCGCTGGCTACCCACCGGTGACGATCTTCTGGGTAGCGGGTGGCCGGCGGTCAGACGTCTGCCCGCCAGCTGCCCGCTGTCTGGCGGTGATTCTCGGGCAGCGGGTAGGTGGCGGGTCCCCCTACCCCCAGCTACCCCCCACTGAATCTTTCATCAAATACGCGTCCCGAGATCCTTTGTGGAACCCGAAACCATGCTTATACACTTTTAAATGCAAATAACGACACCACGTATGCAATTAACGGATCAAAAGCAAGGATCATATTGAACACATCCTAACATGACTTCTAAACATAACAACACCCGAACATGCGAATTCCCACCCAAATATAAATCAAGAACATCACAAAATAAATTCCCAATCCAACCTAGGGCTCTAATTCCCACCCAATTTATCAAGATCATATTTTATCTTTAAAATCAAAAAACATCAAGATTTATCAAGAATCATCACATAAGGATCAAGATCCTCTTTTTTAATATCAAGTTCATCAAGATCACACATAAAATCATCACATCAATCAAATAAGATTATATCATGAATATAAAAGAATTCATCATGACACAAGTATATAGAGGGAGCCAAGGAAGAAGATTATAGCAAGGAAAATAGGTTTTGTTGAGACATGGGTTACCTCTTAGCCTTAATTAAATTCCTTGGCTATGAAGGATCTTTCTTTAAGATTTCTTCTTTCTTGATTTCTCCTATGGGAATTCTTGGAAATTCTTGTGTGGTGAAAGTTATTGTGGTGTGAGTTCTAGGTGCCTCCTATGTCCCTATTTATATATCTAAGAGTCCCAATTCGGTCTAAATGGTATGGGTTTGCTAATTCTATTTCCTATAGGACTAAGGGATTGGTTTTAGGGATAAGGGTTCATGGGCTTATGGTGGACTCTTCCTAATTAATTAATGAAATTTAATTCTTTCTTTTGGGCAAATGATTGAATAATTAATTGGTTTAGAGGCCGTAACACGGGGTGTTACACTCTCCCCCCCCCCCCCCCCTTAACGAGAAGCTTCGTCCCCGAAGCTTTGGTCTTTGCTGAGCGACCTCTCCCCTTATCCTATGCTTTCGCCTTGGTTACCTTGTGTGAAGAGTTCGGGGTAGCGTTCCTTCATTGTGTCTTTGAGTTCCCATGTTGCCTCTTCGGTCCCGTGGTTGGTCCAGTGGATTTTTACCATTTCTATGGTTCGTTGGCGGGTGGTTCTTGTTTTGGTGTCCAAGATCCTCACGGGTTTCGCTTCGTAAGTTAGTGCGTCGTCAAGGTCCACGGCCTCGGGTTGTAGCACGTGGCTTGGATTGTGTATATATTTCTATAGTTGGGATATGTGGAATATGTTGTGTACTCGCTCTAGTTTGATGGGTAGGGCGAGGCGGTAGGCCAGGTTCCCGACTTTTCCTATGATTTCGTAGGGGTCGATAAACCGGGGGCTGAGTTTCCCCTTTCTTCCGAACCTCATCACCCCTCGTGTGGGTGAGATTCTTAGCCAGACCTTTTCTCCGGTGGCGAACTCGGCTTGCTTTCTTCCCAGGTCGGCGTAAGATTTTTGGCGGTCCTAGGCGGCCTTCATTCTTTCTTGTATGTGTTTGACTATAGTTATGGTGTCTTGTAGGTATTGGGGTCCCAGTGCCACTAGACTGACCATGTCTTCCCAACATAAGGGTGTTCTGTATTTTTGACCGTACAGTGCTTCGTAGGGAGCCATGCGGATACTTGCGTGATAGCTGTTGTTGTAAGAGAATTCAATGAGGTCTAGGTGTTCTTCCCATGTCCCCTGGAAGTCTAACATGCAGGCTCTTATCATATCTTCGAGAGTTTGAATGGTTCTCTCGGTTTGACTGTCGATGGTGGGGTGGAAGGCAGTGCTTAGGTTTAGCCGTGTCCCCATGGCCGTTTGTAGAAACTTCCAGAATTGTGAGAGGAACCTGGGATCCCTATCGCACACAATGTTGCCGGGGACTCCGTGGTACTTTACTACTCGGTTTAGGTAGGCCTTGGCTAGTTGTGTCATTGTCCATGTTTCTTTCATGGCAATGAACCGTGTTGTCTTAGTTAGCCGATCCACTATTACCCAGATTTTATCTTTGCCTGTTGGTGTTGTGGGAAATCCCCCGATGAAATCCATGGATATGGTGTCCCATTTTCCTTGCGGTATCTCAAGGGGTTGTACGAGTCCTTTGGGCTTGCATCATTCGGCTTTTACCCTTTGGCAGTTTAGACATTTGCCCACGAAGTCTGCGATTTCCTTTTTCATGTTGGGCCACCAAAACATCTTTTTCACATCTTGGTATAGTTTGTCGCCTCCGGGGTGCACCGAGTATGGTGAGTTGTGCCCTTCTTCCAGGATTTGTTGTTTTAGGTGGGGGTGTGTCGTGGGTACGCACCATCTTCCTTGATAGCAGAGGCTTCCATCTTCGCATATTTCGAATGGTCCATCCCTTCCCTGAGTTAGGTCGAGCCGTATTTTATCTAGTTCTGGGTCATGTTGCTGACCAGCTTTTATTTCTTCCAGTAGTGTGGGTATGATTCTGACATTGAATAGGTGAATCTCAGAATTTGTTTGTCCTTGCTCTACTACCTCCAACTTCAACCTTTGGAAGTCCTTGCATAGCTCATCTGACAGGATCCAGGTGGTGTTGAGGGAGCGGTTAGTTTTTTGGCTTAGGGCATTTGCCACGACGTTAGCTTTCCCCTCGTGGTACTGAATATCTAGGTCATAATCTTTTATAAGTTCCAACCATCTTCGTTGTCGCATGTTTAGGTCCTTCTGGGTGAAGATGTACTTCAGGCTTGTATGATCAGTATAAATCTTGCATTGCACTCCGTATAGGTAATGCCTCCAAATTTTCAGGGCAAACACGATGGCAGCTAGCTCGAGGTCGTGTGTGGGGTAGTTTTCTTCGTGGGTTTTGAGTTGTCGGGATGCGTATGCTATTACCTTGCCCCTTTGCATTAGTACGCATCCAGTCCCCTTTTGGAGGTGTCGCTGAAAACTTCGAATCCCTCCACTCCAGATGGAAGGGCTAGGACGGGTGCTTTGGTCAGCTTTTCTTTCAATTCTTGAAAGGCTGAGGTGTAGTTGTCGTCCCATCGAAAGGGGGTTTCCTTTTTCATGAGCTTAGTGAGGGGTTTGGCTATCTTGGTAAAATCGGGTACGACCCTCCTATAATAGCCTGCTAACCCTACGAAGCTTCTGACCTCCGAAAGTGATTTCGGTCTGGGCCATTCTTTGACGGCGTGGATTTTGGTTGGGTCTACCCTGATCCCCTCTTTGGTTATCACGTGACCTAGGAAGGCCACGTTGTCCTTCCAAAATTCGCATTTGGAGAATTTGGCGTATAGCCGGTGTTCCCTCAGGGTTTGCAAGGTTGTGCGGAGGTGCTTTTCATGTTCCTCCTTGTTTCGGGAGTAGGCTAGGATGTCATCGATGAACACGATGGCGAAGTCATCTAGGTGGGGCCGGAATACTCGGTTCATGAGGTCTATGAATATAGCGGGCGCATTGGTGAGTCCGAAGGGCATTACTGTGAATTCGTAATGGCCATAACGGGTTCGAAAGGCCATTTTCTGAATATCTGGGTCGGCCACTTTTATCTAATGGTACCCGGATCTTAAATCAATTTTC